ATCTAGTTGAAGATGTCCCTGCTTATTGCAGGGGGGTTGGACTAGATGGCCTTTACAGGTCCCTTCCAACTCAAACTATTCTATGATTCTCTGATTCTAATATATACATCAATAGTATCAACAAAGAAACTTTCAGTATAAAAGTATACATATTTTTAAGACACCCAAATGCTATTTCAGTTCATAAACTTTTGACTGAAGCGACAACCAGGGAAAACATCTGTACGTATTGGTTCCTTTATCAGCAAGGCCATGGACCAACCTATTCCATCCACGTGAGACAACATCCATTCCCAAAGTATGAAACAGCTGTTCTGTTAAAACATTTTGTCTGAGAGTGGGATAAAGCCACCTGCACTCAGACTCACAAATAAGAAAGTTGAACATAAAATAGGAGAATGAAAAATACATACAGCTAATTTACGTAGATTGGTCAGCATTTCATTTTGATCTTTAAAGCCAGTTGTATGAATTTTGCTCACAGCATCCTCTTTCTCAGTAAGCCATGCATCAAAAAGGCACTGAAAGAAAATTGGAGAGAAGAGAATGAAAAGGCTTCAGTCAGGCCTTTCCTAGTGCAATTTTTCAAAGAACATTCCAATTTATAACTGCTAAAACTACTCACCTGCTCTTCTGCAAAGTGCTGCCATTTACGAAGAATATCTTGCAGAAGGACCCATCGGTCTTCTGTCCATCTGCAGATGACTGCCCACCGGTTTCCAAAGTGCTAGAAAGAAAGAAACACACAACAGAGGTTTGCATTGGTTTATATATATTTTTTTTTTTAAACAAGGCAATCTGATTTTCCTATGGCATTACAAATTTTTGTGAAAACACTTTCATAATTCACTTTTTACAGTCTTAAGCCCTTAAAATACATTGCATGTCACACTGAAATAGATCTTATCACCTTTTGAAATAAAACCAAAATGGAAAGAATAGGGAACACAATAGAGCCAAAAAGAGATAATTTTAATACTAATCTACAGACACAGCTTTTATTAAATCTCTGGTACCACACTCTCAAACAGCCCCTTAGTTTCAAAACTTTACAATGCTCAAAACATAACTGCTTGAAACATAATTATGATGGCCCAAACATGTGATCAAAGCAAAAAAGTATCTGGTTCTTAAGTTGCACCGTCCATGCAGTTGATCTAAGTTCTTACCTCTTTTAAAATATTGTTGTGGAACAAAAACCCACATTATAAGCTAACATACCAGCACAAATCCCACTGAGGTTTCCTAGATATTTGTAGCATACGCTACTGTATACATTTTAAAATTACACAAAACACTACCTTGTTGTCTCTCCCTTATTTTAGTTGAAACCAAGCATTATTACTTTTTTTTAAATTTCCTACTAACCTTTATTGTACTACTCAAAAACACCATACATGATTCAATGAAGTCATAAGAAGTGGCTTCTTGTTATTCTTTAACAAGGTCCAAGCTTCAGTACTTCGTTTTCCCTATATGCCCTTTCTTCCCACTATCATAGGAGAAAAATCTCTTAATTTCTAAAATTCTATATATTCTATATAAATGTGGTGAGGTGAACCACATTTAGTAGTTTTGGTGCCTGATTTACACTGGAGTTTACAGATACTAATTATGTACTGCATTTTAAAAATACACTTACAGTTTTTACTGAAGGATTCATAAATCATCCCAAAGTTAAGCAGCAAAGGTTTTGGCACCTCTGATTTAGATTAATGTTTTTAGAATTTTTTTTTCATGACCAGACATCTCTCCATTGGTAATGCAGGTGTAGATCAGAATAAATCACACTGCACAAATCTAACCAATAGTTTGCACTTGCTGGAAATTCTGAATTCTCATACAAGCCAAATACAAGGTCTTTGACAAGAGAAAAGTTTTGTTCAAAAAGGACCTCTAAAAAAGAATGAATGGACTTTCATAGCCTACAATTTTCTGAAGAAAATTTCATTCTTTAAGTGTGCCCCATCATGAGTTATGCAAGCTCTTACGTCTCCACCTTGCATTGGACTTATCCAATGGATATATACTTATATATACATGCACGGATGCAGAAGGAAACTTGGAGTTGGTGGAATCATACACTGATCTACACAAACAAATAAAAACCTACTTATTTCTAGTTTAATAATAATTATTATTAAATAATCACTAATCAATTAATTACATGGGATGGATAATATATTTGAGATAAACTGAAAAATCATATTTAAATGGATTAGATTTTTTTTTCTTCTATTTTTAATCACATCCCAAATACTGGTTACAGAACATAAATATTTCTTTTTCTAAACTTTTTTCAAGGAGAACACCCTAAATATTACAGAATGTAAATATTTCTTTTTCTAAACTCTTTTCAAGAACACCACCCTAAATATTCTCTATTAGAATATGAAGCAAACCGAAATTAATTTGAGGTATACCACCTCATGCTATACAGTAACATATTAGATACTTGAAGTAGGAATATTTACAAAGTTCAGCCTGGTTTGAGCTATAGACTCAGTCCTAGGATCATTACATCTACACTTACATGGCTCCTTTTCTACCACTAACTGCAATTCAGCACAGTTCCATATGAATACATAAGATACATAACCACCCATAATCAAGTCCTCACACATAATGAATGTCCTGGTCATTGGTATACAACCAATCATTTTCCTTGCTGTCTATCACAGCAATAGCAACAGGCACTCACATAGGTGCATTGTCACGTATGTCTCCCCCTCTGCCCTCGTGAGACCCCACCTAGAGTACTGCATCCAGCTCTGGAGCCCTCAGCACAAGATAGATGTGGAGCTTTTAGAATGGATCCAGAGGAGGGCCATTAAGATGATCCGAGGGCTGGAGCACCTCTGCTATGAAGACAGGCTGAAGGAGTTGGGGTTGTTCAGCCTGGAGAAGAGAAAGCTCCGGGGAGACCTTATAGTTGCCTTCCAAAACTTAGTGGGTATTATATAAAAAGAGGGGGAGAGACTTCATAAGGACAGATAGCGATAGGACAAGGGGGAATGGTTTAAAACTGAAAGAGGGGAGATTTAGATTAGATGTTAGGAAAAAATTCTTTACTCAGAGGGTGGTGAGGCACTGGAACAGGTTACTCAGAAAGGTTGTGGATGCCCCATTCCTCCTGGCAGTGTTCAAGACCAGGTTGGACGGGGCCCTGAGCAACCTGATCTAGTGGGGGCTGGAGTCAGATGATCTTTAAGGTCCCTTCCAGCCCAAGCCATTCCATGATTCTATATTCTCAGTTACTTAATTTATCCATATGTGTCAGCATATTGTATTTGATTGCTTAAATTTAAGTTACACTAATCATAGACTAAGCCTCAAACTCAGTTCCTTATCTTTATGTCTGTGTTTTTTATATCAGACTTCTATTATATTGCATTCTTTTGATGTTTTATAAATAAAGCAGTAAGGCTTTTATTGATAAAAAGTATTTTTAAAAATTATTCATGTATGAGGATTTTTATAATGTCTCACATTCAAGCAGCTGACTTTTCTTAACAATCCTCATAAAGAAATACAGTTTGATCTCAACATCTGCAGTAACATCTTCATCAACCTGTCTTTATCACTATGATATACCTTGAAAAATATTTTTTGTTTGCTCATCCAGAAAACACCAACAACTCAAGAGTACAAGATCAAATATCTAGCTCTGCATTTACTCTAAGAAATGCATTGATTTGGATACTAAAAAAGTTTTGCTGAGTCAATACAAAATATTATTTTCATCATATGATTTCAAAGAGCCACAATACCTACCTTTATTTTTGTCTCAATAGTTTGACAAGACATTTTATTTTAATTAAATAAGTAAAATGACTAAGTAACTGCACTGATAAAAGGGTTGATACTGTGACCTGCCTTAAACCTGTTATTACTCATGAGAGATCATAACAACCATGACACTAAGATATACTGTTTGGTTGAATAGACTTAAGAGACAAAGTTTCAAGTCAGAAATACCATGTCAGGACTGTCTATTTATAAAGTAGATATTGACTACTAAATCATATGGTCCTCAACTTTACCTATTTATTCACATCAAATAGTAGCCAATGCTGTAAGTAGCCTGTGTGATACCCGGAAACTCAGACTGTACCAAGGGTTTTGTTCCCAACACCTGGGAAAACAAGTCTCCAGAGGAACTGACTGAATCCACAGGAAAAAGTAAAACACCTTCCTGCTCCCTTAAAATGCCCTCTTTTTACAGCCCTAGCTGGAATTTTCAAAGAAATCTGCATGTAAAAGAAATTGTTTTGTATTGAGAGGACTCTGAAAGAATATTCTTTATGACTACAAAAAGCAGAAGATAAAATATTCCTAGTCTGTAAAAAGGTCACAGTAAGGAAACACAAGAACAAGAGAAAATGAGTAAAACCAACACAACTCTTGGGAACACTGGAGTGAATGTATAAAAAGTGAAATAATATGCCTCAAGCCTGCAACTAATAGAACAGTTTTTCTGAAAGATGTTTTTCTAATAAAGTAAGGCTATCTCCTTAAAGTAATAAGAAATAGTGGAAATACCATTTTGTCTATATGCAAAATCAATTTAAAAAAAAAAAAGAAATATTTAGCACATTCACAGAATTTCTTCCATGTAGCAATAAGCAGTTTGTGTAGTTCTTTAACATTTCTCACCTATTTTGATGTATTTTTACACGAACTACCCATACATCATCTTCAATCAAAGGACAGTACCCTGAATAATATGAATATCTAATAGACAGTGTAAATTACACTCTCAGCTCCTTTCCCTCAGCAGGCAAAAAGGCCATCAAGAAGCATTTGATACATTTAATGCAGATTTCTTTCCGGCACAGACCCTGACCCCTGAAGCCTGGGGAGGGCTTTAATTTGAGCTAGACCACAAGAGTCCTTAAGGGACCTATTGTCTGCTGGGTATAAGTAGAGAAAAAACTCCCTGCCTTTATGGCTTCTGTATGTTATCCAGCCATTTCTGTGGGCTGAAGATAATTTCCCACACTTTGCTGACAAATGAGTCAGACTATTGCAACAGATTTGCTAGTATAGTCCCCTGATTTTGCAGCATTAAATACAGATTTGAGCCTTACTCAGCAGCTGCCTTTTTAGTAAGGCTCTGGACTGAACCAAATGGGGTCTAGGAGTTACAAGGCTAAATAGTTCTCAGCAGCAGCATAAATAGACAGAGCCTCACAACACATCACACACTGTTACGTCAAGTAACCAATGTTATATAAAAGTAGTTTTAATATTCACACTCACCTAGACTAGCTGTAACCTCTCAGACTACCTTAGGGCAACAGCTATTTGTAAGAGAAGCACTGTAATTGCGTTTACTTTTATTTTTCCAAGCGAGGTTAACTTTTCTACGGATAATTTGTTTGAGAGGACACTTTCAGCTTCCATGCCATTAACTGTCTCTTAAATAGATTTTTTCTTTTTTCTTTTTTTTTGCATATGCAATAAATCTTAAGAGCTTCTACAATGGTCATGGGAAGCCAGTATAGATTCTTGTCATACTGTTGAGAGTTTTAAAATGTGTAAGTGACCTTTTTATGGCTTTTAACATCATTTTATACAGATGCATGCATAAATATATGCATTACATACATATATTTTTTATATTTGAAAGCATTTAAGGAATCACCATCTCAATCCTTTTCAAAAAGAAAGGCGTAACTGAATTGCAGCTGCTTGGAAAATGCATGACTATTACATAGCCATAACTGTTCACTTTCTTCCAAATCTGATCCTGACCAGTATCTCACTCAGGCAGCCTTACTAAGCTCTTTTGTCTGACAGTGCATGCTCTTGTTTTGTTCTACTTTTAAAAGTCAGTCTGGCAGATACATAACCAAGCTTTGAACTTTGCTCCATTGTGCTTTTTGTCAAATGCTCTAATGGTTGTGCCTGCCAACACATCGTATCTCCTGTGCTTATATTCAGTATGCAAGTGACATGAAAAAAAATAAAATTAAATAAAAATCCAAACAATCTTTCTGTACACTCAGAAAAGGAGATGTAACATTTTGCTAGGATAGTAGGTGGACTGTGGTAACTCAGTTCTCCTGGGCATAAAAGTATGAAAGTTTGCACACCTCTCTAACACCCTAAACCCCACAGCTTTATATCTGTATTTTGTTTTTATTAACATCTGTAATACTGCTACATATTTTGTAACTTCCAGAGCAATGGGATTATTGAGCTTTTCTTTCAGATAATTCTCTAAGACAGTGTGATTCAAGGAGGGAAATGAACAGTAGCTGGACTGTTCCATGCCACCGCATGCTCTGCTCAGAGCGTGCCTGTGCTGCAGGGTACGGTGCCTCAGGAATTGCCTTACTGGCATCTTTCCAGGAATACATTCTCAATGACAGTAATAATTGGGCATGCTATATCCCAACAACAGGCGCCTTCTCCACTAGTACAGTTACAAATGGTGTATTTCCATTGTGTTCCATTTACACTCATCATTCTTTATGTTTCTTTAATGGGGTAAATGCATTACAGTAATGTCTGAGTTCTATTTCAGATTGGATTCCAACATGGGTCAAGCACAGAAATTGCATGGGATACAAATGGTACCTTTGCAACCAGTGTAATAATAGGAGGATGCAGCTGTGTCACCTGATGCGCTCTTAGTTGTCCAGATATCTTTCTGAAGATGTGAAATTAGATTATATGTCCAACAATCCACCAACCTTTCATTTGTTTTTCACACTATTAAAAAAATCTCATCTTCTAATTCATGAAGTGCAGTAAATATCAAATACCTTTAATAATTTCCTTTTTTTTTTTGTCATACTTTACCATAGGCCTCTTTGCAAGAACCTACTGTTTGCCAACATAGAATAATAAACTGATTGGACCTTTTCCCATTCATTTTTCTATTTAATTTCATTTTAATTCCTCTTCCATTCAAGATATTTTCTTAGTTTAGTTTAGCTTCTGGAATTGTGTGCTTGCAAGGGTTCTGCTTTATTCCACTGAACAGAATACAAGGAGCTGGAAAGAAATTCTGGAAGGTTAAGACTGTCTTGAGCAGATACACCACAGTTCTGACACTTAAGATGAATTTAAAAGAAAGTAAAAATTGACAGATCAGTAGAGGCTGCATTGTTACCTTAGCTGGGTTGTGCTCCCTGAGTGACTAAGAAGTTGCGGTAAACGGAGACTTATTTTTGAAGTGGCAGTGCTCAGCATCTTAGCCAAACAGGTACTACCTACTCTAAATTCCAAACTAATTACTGATTTACTGGTATTGGTACGCAAATTAGCTAGATTGAAGAAAGCACACAGATATCTGTCTGTGCTACAGCTATACCTTCCAGCTGAATGTATTGATAGCTTCTCTAGAGAAACCTTGGGCTTTAATGATGAAAAAAACAGAAACCTTTTTATTTTCTTGGGCAAAGAAGCAAAATGAAAGAAAAGTACTTTCTCCTTTCTGAAAAATAGAAGGAATCTTGGTTGTAGTACTGCCATAGTTCTTGAGCAGTGACCCTGGAGATCTGACCACCAACATAGGAGTAGCCTTCTTGATTTTAATCAATGTATCTCAACACTAATTATCCATTTAAGTTCATTCAGAAGTTACAGTAAGAGCATTGCAATATAAATAACAGAGTAAGAGCAACTTTTTAAAGATGTGAGGGAAATACTAAACTTTCTCATAAGAAAAGCTAATATTTGATAAATTTTTAGAACATCTTGGCTGCTAGCTTTATCACAAATACGTCTCCAATGTGTCATTCGTTTAAGAATACTCGAGTAATTGTATTTAGAAAATAGAGTATATAGAAGTTTTTGTCTGTTCATTGTTTAGGCTTTGCGTCAACATGCAATTTAGAACAGGTTTGGATTGCAAGGACGTTGCTGCTAACTTTTCCCAATTCTAGTACTCTAGGAAGCCTTGTCATAAGAATCCTAAATGATAAACTGTTGTAAAAAACTTGTATACTGAAGAGGATATACACTGAAACCGAGAAATGAAACTAAGGACAGACTGAGATGATTCACTTCATTTCTTAGGAAACATGTCCATGAGAAATGAACAGGAAAGAAACGATCACTTTCCCCCAAAAAGTATTTTAGAAGAAACAGCATGTTCTTGATATTTCCTGATAACCATTATTTGTCTACAAAAATATGATCCTGTACACATTCACTATTTGCTTTTGCTTATTTTTAAGAACTCCTATTTCAATTTTGTGGGACCAGCATTGCCATTACAAGACACACATATTGGGCATTATTTAAAATGAATGTGCCTTTAAGCACTTGCCAGTGGATAATGACACTTTATGTAACTATAACACAAAAATATACCATATATACCAAAAGTTTCCCATCAGAAGAAAAATCTCACGTTCTCAGTAACTCACACTCTGCTGAATTGTGTAGATTCTTACATGCAATATCCTTCTCCTCAACTACAACAGAAAATCATGTTACTTCTGTTAGGAGTAATGAAATACAGTTAAGAAATAAAAGACAAACACTTGTCCTTGGATAGATAAAACAGGTTGATACTGAATGAATCACAAAACAAAAAGAAAGTTGCTCTCAGATATTTGGGTTTTTTTCTCCAAAATACATGCATTTACCCATCTATGCAAAAGTCGCATCCTACAGAAATATTTAAGATCATCCTCACAAACATCTCCTGAGATACACTCAATGCTACTAGTAGTTATTCAACTTTATTAACACTGAATGCCACAGATAGGTTTTTCTCTGAGAAACAGAAGTTTAGTCATTACCTGAAGCTGCTCTTCCAGTGCAGCAGTGGCTCTGTCTCCACTGTTTTCATCTACCACCACTACCATATGGGTTAGAGAATTCACCTTGACTTGTTCCTGTTCCAAATCTTCTTGAAACACCTATAATGAAAGCATACATGTTACAAAATATGTTCCATATTAAGAAAATGCTATGTGTTTGGAGCCCCACTGACTGATTAACATGCATAAACATAAGAACTTTATAATCCTATTGCTGTCAATACTAAGCAATTGAAACTTATTTTGTTACCTTTGCATATATATGCTAACATAAGCATATTGGGCAGATTTCCATTACTTTCACAAAAATAGCTTACTGTTACTCACTCACAAGTCCTAACTCTTGATATGATATTTCAGACTGAAAATTTGGCTTGAGAAAGCATTTGTAAAGTTAATGTAGTTGACTTATAGATATCAGTATAGCATGCATACATAGCAATAGCCTGCAAATTTTAAATAGCCACTGGATTAGATTTTGTACTTCATATTAACATGTTAAAATAATTTAGTTTTGAAAAGTTATAAAAATATTAAAAATGACATCTTTTATCATTAAACAACCACATACTATCTTCAGCTTGGCACTCCTACAACATTAATAACATAGGATGAAACTGCTCAGAAGATGACTCAAGATGAGGAAACACATGCAGCACCCTTGTTTCACTTATTGCAGAAACCAGGAAACAAAGTGAGAGAGGCACTTGATGATTTCTGAATGCCTGAGGAAAAATTTTCTTTCCCTTTTTGCTGGGTACCCAGTTCCGGCTGCAAGCTGCATTAAAACTGAGGACAATCTTTTGGTGAAAAATAGTAAACTGCTAAAAGTGAAGAAACTTCCCCAAATCTGCATAAATGGATACCTGAATAATTCCTAACCTTGCCACATTTCTACAACTCTTCACATCTCTCTGACCCTCCCACAATTTCCCAGACTTCATGTAATAGATCTAATTAATTGTTCCCTCCCTCCTCACAGTGCACAGAGAAAAGCAGTGGGAAGTCTAGACATATTTGCTCTTCGGATGATGGTTTACAGCATATTCACTGTACACTTAACCTACATCACAAAAAATTAAAAAAAAAAAACAAACCAACAGGTACTGTAAGGTACTGTAACACCTTAGTAACACCCCGTTGGTGGATTTTAGTGTCTCCTCTTACTTTTTTTTTTTTTACTGAAATTTCACACCACAGAGAAGGCAATATTCAATTTCTTTTCATAATTTTTGTTACCTATCTTCAGCTTTATATTAGTGTATTAACAACCAAATGTACATTTTTAACTCCAAATAGTTAACCACTGTTTTACATTACTGGGTTCTGTGTTGTATTTCTTAAATAAAACTTGAAAGAACCCTTCTTCCCACTCCCCTGAAAAAAAACAAGGTATCCAGGACCACATCCTGCTTGAAACACTTTCTAGGTGTCTATAACTAGCTTCAAACCAATAGAAGAATGTGGGAAACCAAAGTCCCGACGTGTGTCCTCAATACTTTAGCAGAGTTTGTTCTAGTGATTAGTGTATATATATATAGTATGATAGTCACAGTCTGAAAAATAACATGGCTAACCACATATGCCTTGTCACAATGGAAACCTTGACTGTATCACAAACTATGTTGAATTTCACCATATCAATTTTTCTGCTGCTTTTTCAAGTAAAGTAATTCACTTAGGTAGGAAGAACAAGCCCTTGCTGAAGATTAGGTCATGTATTTTAAACCTCTTTGGTAAAACACCTTACTTTTATTTGAAAATTAAAAAAATAAAATGTAATCTGGCTATAGGCAATAGGAAAGGAATTCACAGACTACTTTGTTTTTAAGGCATAAATCCCTTACCCTAACACATTTCAGAGTTTTAATTCCTTCATGGGCATAGCCTTTGAGCCAATATATTTATAAGCATCCTCCTTTTTCTGGCTTTTATACCTGTGATTACCATTTGCTTCAGAGAGCTAGACTATAAAGCAATTCTCAAGGACTGTGAAGTACACCAATTGTTAAAGCAATCCCTGGAATTCAGACTTCTCAACATTTTATGACCCAACACTTGATGATCAAGGAAGAGGAGGCAGAGCACTCATGGATCAGACGGTATAACACAGCTTGCTTCCCCCAGGTTCAATCCCTTCTTTCAGCCATACAACAATAAATACACTGCTCTGTAAGCCAACAGCCAGGGAGAAGGTGACTTTTATTTCCTGATTAGTGGGTATATGGCACCCCGGAACAAAACCAGATTCAGCAATGCTCTGCAACTGCAGGAGTCGAGGGCACTTTGTAAGTCGGAGTCTTGCACACATTGTGAAAGACCTGAGAAGTCAGGGAGCTGATGAAACCAGAAAGTTGAGTCATTTTCTAATCTCCAGACAGATTCAATTTGCCCTGAGCTAAAGGGCTGTTCTTTATAAAGCACGTGTCTATTTTTACCATGAAATTCACTGGTGACAATCGTTTGTGTACAGGAGCTTCCTGAAACAGGAATTTACTGAGGGCAGTCTCAAGACTACAGCACACTCCATTCAAATCATTTAAACTGAAGTTTCTAACAAGTTCTCCTGAGCTTGTAGAGATAGCAGATTTTCAGGGAATTAACATGTAAGATGGATATAGATGTTGATGCATGGGGACAGCAACAATAGAAATTCATAAAACTCCATGGTTCCTTTAATTCCTATATATCAGAGAACAACTTATGTGACTCCGACATAATCTACTTCAAAGTGAATAAATATACCTACTTAGGGTATCCAAGTACCCAAAGACAAATCCACCCCTGATATTTGAACAGTTAGGAAGTGTCTCATTTTACCTTTGCAATTAATTTGAAGTACTGAAAAATCCTAATCCTAAAAATTTTCCATAGTTTCTGACATTTTCATAAAAAATAACAAGGCTCAGTCTTCCAGAAAAAGTACAAATACCTAAGCATATTAGACTTTTTAGGAAGTTAATGAAACTATAAAATGTACTAACTATAAATCGTATAATAATAATGTGGAATAATAAAATCAGTTCAACTAAAAGCACGTTTTTGCTTAATTATAAAATTTCTAATATAGTATTCTGCTTAGACAGCTCAATAGTCCTCAGATTTTTATTGAAAGGTAGCTTTCTCCCTTTATAAAATTATAAAGAAGGGATACTTGCAACAGCAGATAAAATACATAAAATACTGCTGCAAAGACCAATAGTTCTTTACTGAAATGTTTGACTATTACTCCAAAATGTATTGACTATGCCAGATTTCTTACCAGAACTGTGTACCTTGCTAATGATGTAAAATCTTCTAGATTTCACCTCTATTTCAGTCCACTTAGAAAATTTTCTGTACTGTCAAGATATTAACCTCATATACAACTGAACTAAGTAGCATGCTGGAAAGAATGTTGTGTGCTTTCTCTGGTCTCAGTGATGGGTACCATTCCCAATACACATTACTGAATGATTATTCTTTTGTTATAGGACCCAGCAGGGAAACTGAAGTGTTAGTCACAAGAACTCAAGACCAATATTTTGAGACATCATTCAGAAAAAAGTAGAATAAAAGAAAACAAGTTATAAGTCAAAGGGTGATGAATAATATGAAATGATAAAGGTAAAGAGGAGAGGGAGACAGGATGACAACAAACCAAACATATAATCTTTGCTGAAGTCTGTTTAATTTGAAATGACCTTCGCCTTTTATATCTTCCAACTTCTGGTTCTTCCCATCAATTTCTACAACATAGTTTCTGTGATGTTGAGAGTCATGTAAGACTAAGAAAAATTATGAGGGGTGTTGGTTTTTCCTTTTTGGTTTGCTTATTTAATAATGAAGCAATAACGGTGCTATTAAAATTCCGTTGTTTTAACCCTTGTTATAGAAAATAGCTTTGCTGCATACAATATATAATAAAATTACCTGAAACTTTCACAATATGTGAAAGAATGGAAAACACCTTGTTCTTTGACTTATAAGACAAACTATACATGAACAGAATTTTAACTGAAGTTAAAAAAAAAAAACCCTTTCTTTCCACCTTATTAACTAAATTGTCTCTTGTACAGAAAATACATTTAAAAAAGTAATACACATAAATAAATAATGTTGACTAACTTGTCACACCAAAAATGAAGAGCTAGTACATGGGAGAGGTAGATTTCTGTGTGTCTTCACTCAGAATATTCAAATACAAGCTAAATACCCATTTTTCTCAATATTAGAAAGACACAGCGTAAAGAGATTGCATAAATAAAAGGATTACATTTTACATTAGTATTCAAATACAAAATGCATAGAAATAGGAAAAAGTTATTCAAGTCTTAGCACTCATGTATTCAAAATCTTTCAGGTTTCTTTCTCTAATTACCATTTCATAATTACCTGTTGTCTTTTTTTAAAAACAAAATTTAATGTCAGAATATAGGCTCATCTAGAAAACTCTCATACTGAAACGCATTGTCTCTTCACAGAGCAAGCACAGATAGCACAAATAGCAGCAGTAGGCTGAATTAGTAGAATTTGTATTCTTCTTCACTAGCACTCCTTAATCAGAATGCAGAAAAATCACCTTTAACACGGAAGTGCATCATGCAGTCTTTTGCAGCTTTTGACCTTTTTTTAAAAAAAAAACGTAAGAGCTGGTTTCAGTTCAAATTGTTTTTTTTGGGATGATCTGCCCTCTAGAACCTGAACTAGCACTGACACAGGCCATCAAGCATCAAATGTTAAAATCTCTCAAGATACTATGGAACCGAACTGCTTTGAACCACTGATGCAGAAACATTAACAGGTTATCACAGTAAATCTCCGTGACCTCACAAACCATCTCTGCTTTCTATACTTTTCTGTCTCTCTATCATCATCACCATGTGTCATGGATACATATATAAACATATTTTAAAATTTAAATTAATATGAAGCCAGACAATTTAATCCAGTAAATGAAACAAAGTTATTACATAAATTACACAGTCTCTCCCTTTTAATTCTTAATTCTTCCAATTAAAGAACTACCCTCATGGAACGTGGAAAAAATTTGGTCAAATTCTGTCTTACACTCCATTTATTAGTTCGTTATTTTTCATTAAATACATTACTAAAAGTATTTTCTACAGTTAGTAACTAGAGTCTATTTTATAGTGTTGTACTGTACAGTTACATATTCAGAGTCCCAGGAGTCCTAACAAGATTATGCAGTCTAATTATGACTACTGCATCATTGCTACTACAGCATGCAAGGAAAAAAAAGTAACATGCAAAAAGAAGAAAACACAGGTATTAAAAAAAAATCTGATATAATCTTATTGTACTGTGAAATGAAAGGATACTACAGTTGCCTCACATATTTTAGGATATTGTTTATATTTTAAAAAGAAGTAATTTATTTTTTCATATCAGGATAAAAGTCAGAGTTGTGATAAAATAACTCTACAAAAGCTTGTTAATTGTACAAAACAATCAATATTAAACCAAGATTCCATATTACTTTGCTATGTTCTAATGGCAGGAGTAGAGCTTTTAAAATGTCAAAAACTGAAATTGTTTTTTATGTCTTTGGAAGCATACCATAGCATACCTTATGCTCTTCTACTTGACGCTTTAGGTCCTCTAGATCTGGACCTAAGGGCTCCGAATCAATTTTCTTTGTCCTTTCCTCTGTTTTTGTCAGCCAGTCAGCTAACTGGGCTAGCTGCTGATTCTGCAGATCCATTAGGATTTTATGTAAACTGTAAAACAAAGAAGTAATAATTTCAATATATACATGAAAGAAAACAACAGGCAGAAATATCTGCCCTGTACTGGAAAACCTGAATTGGTTTTCATGAGGCTACATCTCAAGCCAGAATTAAAAAAAAAAAACACTTTCAAACAGGTAACTGAAAATTTGTTGAAACAGTTTTGAATTAGGCAAACCGTTTTGAAACTTCTTTATTAGAACCTGAGTATTGCATATAATACACCGTCTGTAAAAGTTTTGCCCTCCAGTTGCATTTCTATTAGAGCTGTTTGGAAGTTCAAAATTTCTACTATCTGTTCTCTTAAAGCTTGTATTGTTAACTACAAGTACTTTGAAAAGTGCTCAGACAGATCTACTTAGCGGGCTCCCTCAAATTTAGGTTATTAAACAGAAGAGAAGATATTATTAAATTTTGAGTTATGCAATGGAGAATGCTTTGGAGAATTAAACAGGAAATACTTCAGTTTTGCCTGAACAGGGTATTTTGATAGCTCCAGAATGACCTGTCCAGAAATACATTACAAATCCTTCACTTGTCATCTTTAGAAATTCTCCAAACTTTCCTAAACAAAATATTCATCTTACCAAAAGTATTTTTAAACTAATGTGTAAACTATTGCTGAGTGATGGAATTACAAGTAGTTATTTGTATTACCCATCTTTCACATAACAATTTTTAACTTAGATTTGACAGACCAAAGTCACTGCCCTCAGTCACACTGAGCTTAGTGAAACCATTGTATGTTACAGTGTGTTACTTGTATCTCAAGCACAACTGTTGCAGCAAAAAGTTAGTTAACTACTTTCAGAACTCAACTTGGAGGTTGAAAATCCAAGTTGAACTTTCAGACTGGAGAAAACTGCCATTTAAAAAGACAGCACGGTCCTAACTCAACTCTACTGGTTTCTCTGTTGGCTTCCTGAAAATGTAGCCCAAAATAGAAAGCTATTGTAAATTTTGTCTCTCTCTGACCAACAGCACCTAGAAGTGTGCAACTTCACACTGACATTTCCCCCCACAAGAGTATTTTAAATGAACAAAACATATCTGTGTTTTCTTCCACAGCACCTGAAGAACTGCAGACTGGCAGAAGTGCGATGTGAGTACACTGTTCCAGAGAAGTGCAAGAGGTCTTGTCCATGACCACGTAGGCAACTTAAGAAATGCTTACACAAATCCAAACATGCAGCTTTCTGTCACAGTTTCAAGGTATGCTCAAGTAAAGCAAGTACTTCTGAGTTTGTCCAAACAATTTTGGATTTTCCCAAGACAGTTTAAACAAACTCAGAAGTGTATAATTTTGAAAGTCCATGTCTAAATATGTCCAAAATAAGCATCATTCTGTATTTTCCCAGACACACCTAATAGTTTTCCAGCTGATCACCACAGAAGATTGCATTGAACATGTAGATAATTACTTTTTGGTATACATTCAAATTCTTCTGAACTACCAAGATTTACTATCTGTCAACATCATGCAGATGTAATATGTGAAATCCCATATCTTATTTGTAGCCTGTTCATATTTTAAGGCATATATCTGAAACTTCAGCACTTCTGTTGTTGGTTATTTCTTTTATTTCCTATCTTTTAAAAAAAAAAAAAATCCTTCCACTTTTGAATCTTCTCAAAATGAGCATTTGGTCTCTGATGAAATATTTATATAATTATTATTTGCTATTTATATAGTTAAGTACTGTATACACAGTATTAACTCATATTGTAAAAAGAAACCGTTAAGTTTCCAGTGCTATTTGATGCTTTCTTCATATGTATCTCAGTTAGCTCATACTCCATTCTTAGATACTATTCCTCAGTTTATCAGCAGTCCTTGGGATCACCTATAAATTTAGGAATGCAAAATACTCTGAATCCCGTGTATATACTAACTGTCACATTTTACACTCAAGGGCAGAGCTGCCTTTTACAAGGACCTAGACAGGCTGGAGGGACAGGCCAAGGGCAACCTTACGACATTCAACAAGGACAAACGCAAAGTCCTGCACCTGAGAAGGAAGAACTGCTGGAATGATACAGGCTGGAGACTGACTGGCTGATGGAATTGCAGCACTAAATCTAACTAAACCTCCAACACTCTGCTATTGTCTTTCTGTCCCTGAAATGGCTTTTTTTTTAAAAAAGAACAGGGCATTAGATGAAAGGCCTTCTCAAAATAAACTTTAACATGTTTATGCAAGTAATAAATATAGTATTGGTAAATCTTTGTTAAATAAGGATCCATTTTTTTAGTCGAACAGAAGTTTAACCAGATAACACAAACACATAGACTTCAAATACCCCAAAAGTAACAGGCAACGAGGATGAATGAGGTATTTTCAAACAGGGGTGCAAAAGGAATTATTAAAAAATTGGATATTTTAATCATAATGGGTATTTTAATAATGAAAACTTAGCTGTTACAAAAAGAAGCTGTTTGTACTTTTTTTTTTTTTCCTTAGGGAAGCCAACAACACTAATCATTTATCTCAGGATTATCACTTGCATCTGGATAGAATAAAAAAAAAAAAAAGTTGGCTGAGGACTTCTGAAATAGAAATTATCAAGTGGTATTAGTAACTATAGGAAGACAAGCCAAAACAGTTTCTTGAAACAAGAGTGGTAATGAAGAGAAGATGTGGAAGGCAGTCTGGGAAACAAAGAAAGAGTGCAAGCGGTGACCAAAGGAATCCTGAGGAGTACATGGACATGAAGCGTATTTTCTAGTGCAGAGCAGCAGATATAGAAAAGCGGAGAAACTGCAGGCAAACACCGAGATGAGATAACTTTACAGAAATAAAGACTTGCAAACACATTTTTAAAAATTAAAAGTTTGTTTTGAAATAATGTTTTAGTGACACCTATTTCTTGAATGACTCCAGTTGGTAGCTCTTGGAAAGAAATGACCACAGAAAACAAATCACAGGAACAACTATAAGCAGGAACTGAAACTTCAACTTGAGGCATTGGGGGAAAAAAAAAAAAAAAAAGAAAAAAAAGAATAGTTCCAAGAAATGGGAAGGGTTCCATTAATCCAAATTGCTAAGTGGTAGATATCAAACAGTAATGTTTTCCTGTATTATCTCTCTCAAGATTTTTTTCCTAAGAACAGAGCGTCATGGATCTTCATGATGTACGATGATTTCAGGTTCTTTTTACTGGAAATCGTGTCTTAATTATTGATCAAAATGACCAGAAGATACATGTAATGTCTTTTCCATTCTAATCTCTCTCTTTCTTTATGGATAGAGTACAGGAAGCTGTTAACATGCTTTATTATAACCCATGGCTCACAAGGGATTAGCTATCTCAGATCTAATTCAGTCCTTCTTCACTTTCAAGTGTATATTTTATTGTCTTACATGATGTTCTAAACCAAGGTATTATAAATATTAAATACAATGCTTCATCCTAAAGATAATTTTTTTAGTGATAAATGAAACAAATGGTATAGAAAACCTGCTAACATAAAGAGAATTTAAGAAAACCAAGATATGATTAAATAAATACTTATTATATAGAATATTGATATTATTCTGAAGCAAGGAGAATCAACTTGAAAATGAAATAAATACAGAAAATAATTTAATCACGGTTGATTCTCTAAGCAGAAGAATGTTTCTTGTTTCTTACCATTCTCCAGCTACTTTCTGGTTTTCAAGTTACTTCTATAAATATCCGATAGAGGTTTTAGTACGTATTTATATACCTCGGAAGATTATAATAATCTTTGTTCATGGTATAGCCTTCTTAAGTTTCAAATACAAAATACTTTTCCATTGAATTGAATGTGTTTTAATAGTTGTGGAATTCTCCTTAAAGTGGTAAATTGCATTAAGTTTTCCTCTCCAGTGATTCATTTATCACTCTGAGATGCTTTACTATAAAGAATCCTATTTGGGGAAGGGCAGGAGGAAGAAATGAAAAAACAGGCTGTTTTCCTTCAGCATGCTAATGTATTGCTTCCTAGAAGAGTGAAATACTTTCAATACATAGTGAATACATGGAAAATCCAATTTGGGCTGCTTTTACACAATGGCATTGCTCTGTTCCAAACTTCCTCTGATATTCTGACCTCCTAAATCACTTTTCATTAGACCTTTTCACTTTTATGGTACCCTTTATCAGTATATGTCTCCTCTCTTTGTTGATTGCTTGCCTTTGTTCCCCCTGTGCTGTGAAGTGTGGCACCTCTTTTTACATTTCCTGTTACCATTGTAACAGAGGATAGACAGCCTTGCTGTTCTCATCTTCACAAAAACATCTCTGTTTGGATAAACATGTCACTGTTGCCTTAACGACTAGGTTACAGCAATGGGCTCAGAAGATTACGCTTTAAACTGAAGTAGAAGATAGATCCTGAGAGTTTAAATTGCGTATAATAACCCAGAAATATATTACATTGTGATATGAAAGCTGTTCATAATGCTCCAGCTGGTGTTTGAAACACAGGGGTTTGACCCAAGAGGTCAAAATTAGCCATATCTAAGTACACCACTCGTGAGAAATTTTCTCTTGCCCTAACCCAAATTTAATTGAATTTATCACAGAATTTTTTGTATAAGAAATTAAATAGTAGCACAACATTCTCTGTGAAGCCCTTATCACCTTATGTCTTCCACTGATTTCATATTACCCGAATATGACATGCTTCAGAAGATACTATACCATTCAGTTCCCCAAGCAGTGACCTACAGCTGCATCTGGCAGACAAGTTTAACAATTGGTGTTAAACGACATTCTAGTAGACACAGTACCACTCATAGAGGTGAGGTTGCCACCTGCATGTGTTAATTTAAATGAAAATAAATATGGCAAATAAAAACTGCCTACAGTAAAGTATCGTGGAGTCTTCTCTCTAAGAAAATAATAAAACTGGAGGAAGTTCGGTTGAAACATCTGAAACCCATCAACAATTTTATAGACTGTCAAAGAAAGATATACGAAAGAAAACAATTTCCATACTCAGTAGCAAGCTGAAAAGAAAACAAATATTTGGAATTACTAAGAACACGTTGCAAAAAAAAGACCAATGTTATGCGATTGTTGAAAATCATCGTTTGCCCTTTAATATTGTGGGCAATTCTGGTCCCCTCAACTCGAAAAAGATAAGGTAGAACTGGAAAAAGCTCAAAGAAGAGCAAGATGAATAACCAGAGATATATATTTATGAAGAGAGTGAGGAAAGATATACGTTGTTGACCCTTACTTGTAACACAGTAACCACAGGGAATCACTTAAGCTACCAGTGACAAACAAAGAAAAAGAAGCTGGTCCTCAAAAAAGTAGCATTCGTACTGGATAAGAGGCGTGTAGAATTCACTGCCAAGGGATGTCATGGGGTGCTAACAGGTCCAAGGGGATATTGAATAAATAAATAGAAGAAAAAACAAATCAATGGCAAGTTACCAAATACACAAAACTGCTTCCATCTCAGGAAGTCACCTCAGCTGAAAACAACTCCAGGTCAGGAGAGTTCTACGGAGAACTTCATAACCTGAGACATGCAGTATTAGGTCAGGGCAATGATCCATACAGCCCAATATTTGGTCTCCAGATCAATGGGCCCATGCAGCCCAATATTTGATCTCCCTCAATGGCAAAAGGCGATGAGAAGATGCTGCTTCGGGAGATCATGTATCTCCCCTAAAGCTTATCTTTTCTTGTTCTGTTACAGTCAGGATGCTGGGCTAGGCCATTGGCCTCACTATTAGAGATATTCAGCTTTTACTAAAATCGTATTCATAAAAGGAGTCACCCTCCAGCTATACTGAAGGAATAGACAGAAGAGTTTCTCAGTTAGTACATGTACATTGGGATTTTCTGAGTGAAAAATTAAGACCTCAGCATAAAGATTTTAATGAAGTCTACTTAGTTCGAAATCCTTAAAAATCCACCAGGGATCTCAGATTCAGGTTGTTTGCCACTGCATTTATTTAGTTTTACTGTAGAAAACAGCTATATTCTTCAGTAATTAATACTGCTTGGCTATAAACAAGCTCCTAGTGACAATCAATTAATTTTAAAATTTACACTGGGTTTGACTGTAGCATGATAGTTAGTAATCTTCACCATTGATTCCCTTTACAGAAAGGCCGGTAGGCATACAAAATTACTCATGACAAAGTAAGACTCAGTCACATGAGTTTGAAATGGAGTTATTATATCAGACTGGGATTAAAAGTATCCACATAAAATGAAAAAAGTAGAGAGACTAAGAAAAAGAAATGTGAAATATCAGGTAAGTAACAGACATTTTCTTAAGATAAGGAAGGCAATTCACACAAAAAACACCTTCAATGACTTTTCTGGTTTAACCACTCCGTATTCTGCAAAACAAATTACTCCACTGTGGCACAATCACAAGCTCTTACCTTTATGAGGTTTCTTATACTAGATAGCACTATGTAAATCAAAATTTCAAAATAACACAGAGAAATCTTAAAAATGTTTCAAAGACTAATGTAACTAATTAACAGATTGTTTTTCTACTTTTAATTGTATTTCTACTTTAAGCTATAGGACTTGCCCTTTTTTCAGTAATGTAATTTATCCTCAGATAAAACCATGACAATACTTCCTGGAAAGCTAAGCTCCCACTTACTATTTTTATGGGATCAAGTTTTATGGGTCTTAAAGATTTGTTTCCCTTTTCCTTTTGTATCTCAGCAAAGATTCTCTCCTTTGTACCTAAATATTGTGTGATACTTGTTGAAACAATCAGAAAAAAGTGAGGTAGGTTATATAAATTTTGGTTAAAATGTTATTAGTGTCTAAGTTGTTGATAGCTGCTGATCCATGCAGCTTCCAGTCTCAAAACAACATGCAAGCTTAAGTCACCACACATCACATTTCAGGTTAAAAAAGGTCTGAGATGGAGTTTTGTTCACAGCAAAGTGAAAGAAAATCCCAACCGTTAGTCAAGTTTATGATTGTTTCAGTCAAACTCCATATATATTATTTTACCTGACATTTGACTTACTTGCTTTGTTTTTCCATACTTGCTACCCTGAGACTTTCCCATCGAGAATTAAGTAGATTCATTTGTTCTTGGATTTCATTCTCTTCATCATCTGAAAGTTTTCCAATTGCTAGAAGTTGACTTCCAACTTGCAAAACATTGCCAACACGTCCTTGGTGAGCTGTTAATTCCATCATAAAACCCTGACAATAAAAATAAAATCCAGTTTTAAGTCTGATTCTTTGGAAGGAAAGAGCAGACTTTGGAGAAGTATCTTCAATTCCACCATTTTCCAAACCTGATTTTCAACTTCGCTTTTTATTTTTTTAACCGCTCCCCAAACCTTATAATACAAAACAGAAATAAACACTTCCACTTTTTGCATAGGGCGCAGTCTCTACATTTAAATTCTCCAAATTAAAATTAAAAACAAGCAAAGGGAATAAACTAAACTAGAAATATCTTTCTGTTATATTTTTGACCTTATTATGGGATACAAGCAGATAAATGCCTACTGAAAGGTTAGTATAAATATATACCTCATGGGTGTGAAATTGTTCTTTAACAACTTCTACATCATTGGATATATCTCCTTGTGCTTGTAATGCATCTTCAGCAGAGAGAAGCCATGTGAGTACTTCTTCTAAAGCAGTTTGGTAGCTTTCAAGATCCATTTCAGACCCCATCCGCATGGTGCTAAATGTCTTTTCTTCAACAGTTTCTAAAAACTGATAAAAATCAAAATTTTAAGAGTAATGCAAATAGCACCTGCTCAGACAGTTCTACAAAGGAATAAATAGAATGTCATTGTCTTGTATAAAAAACGAGCTTTTTATAAAACAAAAAAATATCAGATGGCTAATGTGTGGAAGTACTTATTAGTATAAAATCAGTTAATTGACCAAGATCAGATAAGATTGAGGGAAATAAAAAACAATCTCGGATTAAATTAGATATTTTATACTAGAATTCAAAATTCCTAGCAACTATTCTGAATAGTGACAGTATCTAAATTACACCTGTAGAATGCTGTTATAATTGTTTTTCAATAAATAGTCTGATTTTTCATTTCTAGTTTATTGTTTCTTATTTAAGTATTTTCTCTTGGAAATGAGACAGAAATTTATTTCCCACAGTACCTAGTAAAATTATATCATCAAAAAAGCAGTAAGTCACATGCTGACATTGCAGAGAATCTATGGAAAAGAGAATATAAAGAAGAAAAATAACCCTTTATGCTACATGCAATACTAGGCTTGAGAAATCCATAGACACCCATTTTTTTAAAACTGTTCTAGGAAGTTGAAAAAGCTCAGAAATGTCATGCTAAATCGTACCTTTTTAAAAACAAAAAAAAAGTGCATCGCTGTTGATTTCTCTTTCCCACAAAGGCCACCTTTATATTTATACTTTAGAAGCCAGGTGACTCTTACAAGCACAGAATTCACACTTACACTCTACTGCTTAAAGTCAAGAGAAATCAATAACAAGTATTTACAGATTAGTATAACAGTAGAAGACTACAACAAAACAGAAGCAAGAAATACGGGTTTGCTACAGAAGATGTCATTCCATAAATTTTTCAAAATTTCTGGAGAAGTTTAGTTACTTTGCTAGCAAGTTAGTACAAAACCAGTTTACATTAAAATATGCTTATGCTTTTATAAAAAAATGATACCAAGACACTTAATGTTTTTATACTTAGCAGAAATTGTCTCTACTGACATACTTGTGCCAATAAAACACTCAAAGCAGCGTCTAAAGCCTTTCACTGTAGTTTAGGACAGAAAGTCAAAGTTTATCACTGGAAAGCAGGAAGTGTAATGAATGTAATGTGATCACTTAAAAGGAAATCTTCAGTCTTCACCTTCACAACAAATTCATTCTGAACTGTAAAGAGCTAATAATCACATACACTTCATGTGAATCCGTCTGTCATATGTGTGTTAGGCCAATTAAAACACCAGTCATAACTTCATCACCACATATGCTTGAAAAACAAGGTTCAGTAAATAAATCTGCATCAGAAAAGCAGGCTTCAAAATCTGATGAACTCAATAGTTTGGTTTTTTCATTTAAAGAAAGTACTACCTTACAGGAATATAAACAATGACGTACAGAAAACGTTCAA